AAGGACTTGTGTCGCTAAAGTTTCGTCGGAACAAAGTTACGAAAAATCAATTAACGAACGGAGACGTAACACCCAGATTCAATGCTGCCTCTCCGACATAAAACTCTGTATGCGACGCCGCTGTTAGTTTATGAAATAAAGCTATACTAAAACTAATATACCATTAAAAGTGAGAAACCGTGCTTAGCATTTGGTAAAAATAAAAAACTTTGTCACTCGGAATTTGATGTTAATAATTACTATAGGTGTATTTGCTAGAATCTTGGGTAATGCAGTTGTTAGTTCAGAAAAACAAATAAAGTTAACAATAAAATCTCAAAATTGTATGGTAATATTTTTTATAATTGTTTGAAAACTAACAAAAATGTTACTCTAAGTTTCATAAAAATCATTCATATATTTATTTTTGTTTTTTAACTATGTTAAAAATGGTTTTATATTTTAGAATTGCTTCAATTCGAATATGTAACAGTGAATAAGTAATCAAATTCAGGATTCAAATAAGTAATAAGGAAAAAGTAAACAACTTCAGATACGTGCAGATAATTTTTAAGTAGGCTAAGGTAAGTACAATAATATTTAACTAAGTCCGAACTAACGATGTTACGTAAGCTATGTAATTTGTATTAGTATTACTAGATTTTAAAGGCAGGTATTTATCTATGGTGTATTGTCGTTTGATGACAATCAGCATGTAGAGGTTTAACTTTCAACTTATTTTGTGAGATGTTCTCTTGCGTTTATGCAGGCAAAGCCAAATACAAAATTACCAAAACGACATCCAAATTCACGCAGTTGCAAATTTCCAAAATTAACGTTTCCAGAAACTGTCTGTTATAATTTTATATTATTATTTTGGTCATTTTTGAAAAACAAACTAACATATACATAGTATATTATAGTAACTATTAATTAAGCATCGTTAATTCTTTTTCACACATTTGGTTAATATTTAGTGAAGAACCTAATGAATAATTAATTCAAAAATACAATAACAACAACTTTTACAGGAGGCACGTGCACATTTTAATGACCAAATATTTTAACCCGTAGTATTGGGTCATCATGTTTTTCGAATGCAACTTTTACCTGATAATGACTCCATATGATGAGTAGAAACATTGTAGTTATTAAAAGTGTTATTGTATTTTTGAATTAATTAAACTGTTGGGTAATCGTTACTTAAAAGTTAACGTATATAATTCAAGGACAATAAGGGATCTGTTACTGTTAGTCCATCCACATGCAGATTGACACATTCACTGAAATACACTTAAAAAAAAAAGAAACTCAAGACCATCCCTTATTTAACTATTTATCAAGCCTTCCCTTTTAAACTACATTAAATGTACT